AGTGCTGGGATTACAGGCGTGAGCCACCGCGCCCAGCCGCAGTATAAAGATACTTATCTGTGCTGGGTGCGGTGGCTCAGGCCTGTAATCCCAGCACTTTGGGAGGTGGAGGCGGGCAGATCATGAGGTCAGGAGAGCAACAGCATCCTGACTAAGATGGGGAAACCCCATCTCTTCTAAAAATACAAAAAATTTGCCAGGTGTGGTGGCAGGTGCCAGTGGTCCCAGCTACTCTGGAGGCTGAGAAAGGAGAATTGCTTGAACCCAGGAGGCAGAGATTTCAGTGAGCCAAGATCATGCCACCCCACTCCAGCCTGGGCAACAGAGCAAGACTCTGCTTAAAAAAAAAAAAAAAAAAAGGTATTTATCTGCAGCCAAAGAGATAGGTTTCAGCTTAAGATATAATTTTGGGAGTCACTGATATATGCATAAGATTTAAAACCATAGGAATTAAAGACACCCAGGGAGCATGTAAGAAAAACAGGTCACCTTGAAGAGCACCAATATTGAAGGAGGAGAGAGAAAAAAACAATCAGAAATGGAAGAAATATTGAGAATACTGCTGTTGAGAAATAGCAATCAAAAAAAAAGAAAGAAAACCATAACCACCCTTTCGGTAATATCCTAGAAACCAAAGAAAGCAATTGTTGTAAAAATAAAATAACAACCAAAGGTATCAAATGCAGCTCGGAAAATGAGGACTGAAAAATATTTTTCTATTTAATAACCAGGAAGCCATTTGTGGCCTTATTTATTTATTTATTTTAAGATGAATTCTTGCTCTGTCACTCAGGCTGGAGTACAATGGCGCAATCTTGGCTCATTGCAACCTCTGCCTCCCAGGTTCAAGCAATTCTCCTGTCTCAGTCTCCTGAGTAGCTGGGATTACAGGGGCATGCCACCATGCCTGGCTAATTTTTGTATTTTTAGTAGAGAGAGGGTTTCATCACATTGGTCAGGCTGGTCTTGAACTCCTGACCTCAGCTGATCTGCCCGCCTCGGCCTCCCAAAGTGCTGGATTACAGGCGTGAGGCACCACGCCCGGCTGACAGGGTTTTCTAAGTCTTTGTGTATACATATGGCCTTTGCAAAAATTGATAGCGAGACTGCAAGACCTCTTAAACTAATGGATCTTAATCTGATTATCATGTAATAACGCTAAAGGCAAATAATAACTTCCATCATTAATTAGTGCATTTATTGACTGAATCAACTTGCAAAGGCAGTTAGAAACTGCAGTTTTGTTTTGTTTTGGTTTTTCAGAACTGGTCTCACTTTGTCCCCCAGGCTAGAGTACAGTGGTGCAATCTTGGCTCACTGCAGCCTTAACCTCCAACGTTCAAGTGATCCTCCTGCCTCAGCCCCTGAAGTAACTGGGATTATAGGTGGTGTCACCATGCTTGTCTAATTTTTTGTATCTTTAGTAGAGATGGGTTTCAACATTTGACCAGGCTGGTCTCGAATTCCTGATCTCGTGATCCTCCCGCCTCCATCTCCCAAAGTGCTGGAATTACAGGTGTGAACCACTACGCCTGGCCCAGGCTTTCCTAAAGAAACTTATAGCTTTTTGGCCAGGCTGGTCTCAAACTCCTGACCTCAGGTGATCTGCCCGCCTCAGCCAAAGTGCTGGGATTACAGGTGTGAGCCACCACACCCAGCCACATGAGATTTTTTACTAATGCAGATTCTGGGATCCTTTTGAATCCTATGAAATAGGATTTTACAGAGGTGGGACCTGAGATCTCAATTCGTACCATTATTATAGCAGGTTCCTCTGATTCTGAAGCTGCTAGTTGGGTGGGAAGCACTCATCTGCATTCATTCTTGCCTCTAACTTTCTAATTTAGCTTCTTTACCCACACATCCCAAAATTGTCCTTAATAAGGCCACAAGGCCTTATTGCACTCTAGCCTTGCACTCTAGCGTGGGCAACAAAAGTGAAATCTCAAAAAAAAAAAAAAAAAGAGTTTTCAACAGAATATGCAAGCATCAACTACTGCTCTGGAATAGTTAAGCAAAACTAGACCCCAGCATTGAAACATTTTCTCACCTTCTTGAAAAATATCCCTCCTCCAACTTGATACCACATCCCTACCCTCTGTATTATTAGCAGGACGAACAATAAAACAACCCAGGCTAGGCTTGGTAGCTCATGCCTCTAATCCCAGCACTTTGGAAGGCTGAGTCAGGAGGATCACTTGAGGCCAGGAATTTCAGACCAGCCTAGGCAACACAGAGAGACCCGTCAATACAAAAAAAAAAAGTTATATATAGATATTACATTATATATAATATAGATTAAAAAAATATATTTTTTATATATATATATTAGGCTGGGCGTGGTGGCTCATGCCTGTAATCCCAGCACTTTGGGAGGCCAAGGTGGGCAGATCATTATGAGGTTTGGAGTTCAAGACTAGCCTGGCCAACATGGTGAAACCCCATCTGTACTAAAAATACAAAAATTAGCCAGGCATGGTGGTGCATGCCTGTAATTCCAGCTACTCGGGAGGCTGAGGCACGAGAATCATTTGAACCTGGGAGATGGAGGTTGCAGTGAGCTGAGATCAAGCCACTGTACTCCAGCCTGGGCAAAAGAGTGAAACTCTGACTCAAAAAATAATAATAATAAAATATATACATTATATATATATAATTTATATTTTATACTTATATAAAAAATAGGGCCTGGTGGTATGCACCTGTAGTTCTAGCTACTGAGGAGGCTGAGGTGTGAGGATTGCTTGAGCCCAGGAGTAACAGTGAGTTGTGATCCTGCCACTTCACTCCAGCTTGAGGGACAGTGTAAGCAAGAACCTGTCTCAAAAAAAAAAAAAAAAAAAAGGCAAAAAACAAAAAACTTGTAGAGGCCAGGTGCAGTGGCTCACGCCTGTAATCCCAGCACTTTGGGAGGCCGAGGTGGGTGGATCACTGGACATCAGCCTGACCAACATGGTGAAACCCTGTCTCTACTAAAAATACGAAAATTAGCTAGGTGTGGTGACACCTAATCCCAGCTACTCGGGAGGCTGTAATCCCAGCTACTTGGGAGGCTGAGGCAGGAGAATCGCTTGAACCTGGAAAGTGGAGGTTGCAGTGAGTTGAGATTGTGCCATTGCACTCCAGCCTGGGGGACAAAAGCAAAACTCCGTCTCAAAAAAACAAACAAAAAAAAACCTGTAGAAATGGAACTTATAAAAAGACTATGAAAATTATATTTTAAAAAAGAGGTCTGGGCACAGTGGCTCAGGCCTGTAATTACAGCACTTTGGAAGGCTAAGGAGGCAGGAGAATTGCTTGAACCCGGGAAGCGGAGGTTGCAGTGAACCGAGATCATGCCACTGCACTCCAGCCTGGGAGACAGAACAAGGCTCCATCTCAAAAAAAAAAAAAAAAAAAAAAGATGTGGAACAAATATCTGTTGGACTGCATCAACTCAACATAGTGACAGTATCTCTAATACAGCATGCCACAGTGGTCAAATCCCTTTAACATTTCAATATTATGACAACTACACTCATATATAAACATTGAAGCACATTTGAGGATTTGTCATTTAAAGTTAATGTAAAACTGCAATTTATAGATAAGAAAAATCCATAGTCATGTAACATATTTTTTCTCATCCTCAGTGTAAATGTTACTAAATATCCTAGAATAAAATGTAGTTTACATAATCTGTTACCATAATTTTGAGAAAGAATGGTTAACTCAATACCCTTTCAGTGGCTTTCCTCCACTTATTCTTTCTTCTGCCCACATAGTTGCCTACTCACAGACATTTTTAAAAGTCTTTTAGAGCCACCTTTGTAAAGAAAACAGCAGTCTTCTCTAAAAACAATGTAATTTAGCGATTTTAGTCACTGTTTTCTCCAACTTCACAGAAATCTTAGACTCTAATGGGCAACTTAAGTTCTTTAGCATTATTCTACTAGTCTTATTTCTGTAAACCAAAGATCTGTAGGTAAATTGGTAAGTAGGCAATCTGTCAGCAGAAAGTCTTTGTTGATTGTAACAACTGAAATAATCTTAGCAAATCACAATGCAGGATGATTTAAGGAATCCTAGAAGAGGTATAACATTATAAGACATTCTCACACCAAATGACAAACTATAATGTACATGTGGACTCTTGTCAGAGATTCAGAGAGTTGTGTCCAACCACTTTCCAAATGCTGTACAGACATCTAGAAATCAAGCAGGAGATCCTTCTACTTGGTTTTTCCACAGCTGAAACACTGAACAGCTGTTGTAGGTACAATTCTGGGAAGGTTCTGGGAGAGATGAGTAGGCCCTAAAGGGGTGTCCTAAAAGCATGCATACATCTCCAGAAACTCAGACTGAGTACGACGCCCCCCCACCACTTCAGGGCCTGCAAAACCCAGATGAATCGGACCCCAAATCCTGCTCTCTAGAAAACTGGGGTGAGGTGGCATGGAAGGCGAAGGCACCCAAACACTATGATCCTTATATTCGAGTTTTGAGGCATTTTCTCATCCATGTTTCACCCAGGGCGTTGCATACAGCAGGTGCTCATTTACTGTTTTGGTGACCGCCTGAATAAATAAATGTGAAAGACTGAGCCGAGCCTGGGGCTACAGGTGCACAATCGCCGTGGTCCCCTGGTCCAGCCGCCCACCACCACCCGCGCCAGAACCCGGTTAAGGAGGTCACCCTCTCTATCTATGTCGCTTCAAGCAGCAGTGGCACGCAACGGTCAGTCAGCCCTGGCCAGGCTGCGCCCTCCCCCAGGACAGCACTCACCGTTGGTGTAGGGAGACCCCGAGGCCAAGGCGGCTCCGTTCTGGGCCTGGAGGCTGGCTGCGGCACCGCCGGAGGCCGGTATTCCCGGCTGGGACATGACGACGGCGGTTATCTGGGTTGGAAGGGGCTGGTTGGGGTCGACAACAGCGCACAAGAAGAGAGCTGAAAGACCACTGCTGAAAGCGGAGGGAGGAAGCTAACAACTTAAGATTGAAGACTGGGAGAAGAGAGGGGGGCGCATTAAGCCCGAGGCATGGCGCCGCACTCTCCCCAGGCCACCGGCGGCCACGGCCTAGCCTGGGAGATGAGGCTTGGGAGTCGGGCCCGCGGGGCCGCGAACGCCCGGCTAGAAGGCGGCAGCCAAACCTGGAGAGAAGGAGGGAGGCCTTGGCCGGAAGTGCCTGTCAGCCGCCGGCCGCGCAGCCGCAATCAGGACACGTGGCACTTCCGGCTCCGGGCTCGCAGCCGCTGCCCCGCCGGCGAGCCCTTCTCTGCCAGCCGGGCTGCCCCGAGGCCACCTGACAGCTCCTGGTGCCCCGACCCCGACGACCGTGCCCGTCCTCGCTGCCACGTCACCGACTCTCACGGCCGGCCGGAAGTGCCATGTGTCACCGCTACGGAAATTCCCGCCGTTGTGAACGTGACCTCGTTCGCAGAGCTGGGATCGTGGGGCAATCTGGGATTCAGTAGCCGCTTTCGTGGGGTGGGACTGACAGTTCCTCTCCTCGGGTTTTGTGAAGATTACCTGAGACAACAGAAGTCATCGTCCTCTGTTGAGACGTACCACTGCTGGTAGCTGGGACGGTTAATGTTCATCACAGTATTTCATTCACATTTCGTCTTCATGTTTCAGATGTAAATTGTAAGGAGTTTTAAAAAGAGGTGGTTAAATATGTGTACGTATTAATAGTGTGATCAAGCCAAGAAGGAGGCCTTTGTCTTTTGACTGGAGGACTCAGAGAAATTTTGATTTTGAAACTCGCTGATTCATAGCATAGTCACACTCAAGTTCATTAGCACATTTAAATGGCAGTTTTGTTTCCTCTTCTAAGAGTTTACAGTAAGGTAAAGAACTCAAACTTCCTTTCAGAGCAAGTAGACTTTTTTTTTTTTTTTTTGCAAGTAGACTTTTTTGACTTTTGAAGCCAAAGAGAGGTAGAAACTGCGGTGATTAGACAGCATAGTTAATTAATGACTGAGTAATCATTTTAGCTGCCTTGATTCTATTTAGGTTTTTCCTGCTCTGTGCTGATGATAAAGCCCTTCTTTACAGGTTTGTACTGTTGATTAAAATGTCATGCCACGCGGTTTCAAAACCTCAGTGTGAAGTACATCTTACCTAATTCATTTAGTATCAAATGCCTGCTATGAAGTGTTATATTACATACAAAAAAAGCCAGAACTAAACCACTGTGTCAGGCTGGGCAAGGTGGCTCACTCCTGTAATCTAAACACTTTGGGAGGCTGAGACAGAAGGATTACTTGAGGCCAGGAGTCAGAGACCAGTCTGGACAACTGGTAGAGTCCCCTTATCTCTATTAAAAAAAAAAATTGTTTTTAAGACCGAGTCTTCGTCTGTTACCCAGGCTGGAGTGCAGTGGCGCCATCTCCACTTGCTGCAGCCTCCGCCTCCTGGGTTCAAGCAATTCTCCTGCCTCAGCCTCCCGAGTACCTGGGATTACAGGCTCATGCCACCATGCCTGGCTAAGTTTTGTATTTTTGGTAGAGACAGGGTTTCACCATGTTGACAAGGCTGGTCTCATACACCTGACCTCAGTTGATCCACCCGCCTCAACCTCCCAAAGTGCTGGGATTACAGGCGTGAGCCACCGTGCCCAGCCAATTTTTAAAAATCAAATAACAAATTTTAAGATCTTGCCCAGTGTGGTGGCACATCCCTGTAGTCTCAGCTACTCAGGAGGCTGAGGTGGGAGGATCACCTGAGCCCAGGAGTTCGAGGCTACAGTGAGCTATGATCTCACCACTGCACTCCAGCCTGTGTGACAGAGTGAGATCCTGTCTCTAACAAAAGAAAAAGAATAAACAACTGTGTCAGGCCTAAAAACAGTCAGTAAAAATTCAAATAACTAAATACTAAATTTTATACTAACCCTGTTTTCATCATTTGCCTCAGAACTTTACTAAAAATGTATTTGCTCGGGTGTGGTAGCTCACGCCTGTAATCCCAGCACTTTGGGAGGCTGAGGGGGGCAGATTACCTGAGGTCAGGAGTTCAAGACCAGCCTGGCCAACATGGTGAAACCCCATCTCTACTAAAAATACAAAAATTAGCCAGGCATGGTGGCACATGCCTGTAATCCCACCTGCTCAGGAGGATGAGGCAGGAGAATTGCTTGAGCCCGGGAGACGGAGGTTGCAGTAAGCCAAGATTGCACCACTGCACTCCAGCCTGGCCGACAGAGCAAGACTCTGTCTTTAAAAAAATAAAATAAAGATAAATAAGTAAATATTGGCTGTAAGTAGCATTGAACAATTCAATTCCTTTGTACAAGATCCAAGTACTCGCTCTCTCTCTCTGTCTCTCCCTCTCTATATATATATACATATATATATATATTTTTTGAGACAGTCTGTTGCACAGGCTGGAGTGCAGTGGTGCAGTCACAGCTCACTGCTGCCTCAACCTCCTGGGCTCAAGCAGTCCTCCAGCCTCAGCCTCCTGAGTAACTGGGACTACAGGTATGTGCCATTATGCCTGGCTAGGTTTTATTTGTTTATTTGTTTGTTTTTGTAAAGAGAAGGTCTCACAAGAGATCCTCCTGCCTCCTCCTTCCAAAATGAGATTACAGGTTTGAGCCACCATGCCCAGTTAAAATCTTCTTTAAGATGAAGATGATACTTATGGTCAAATTGTTTTCAGTTTGGAGCCACTATAACAAAATCCCAAATTATAGACCCAAAAACACTTTAAAATTGCACAGACACAAGCCTCTGAATGTTTTGAAGAGGGAATAGAGCTCAGAGAGAAACAACCCTTCTGAGGTCAGACAAAATCAGGGTCACTCTTCAAAGAGGCAAATACCTGATCTCAAACCTGCATTAGTTTAATTCTCTCTTTTTATTCAACTCATTTTGAATGACCTTGATTTGTTTTGACCTTGGCATGGTGGTTTGATTTGGTTAAATCAAGCTTTCTTTGAACTTTGTGCTATTTAAGCAGTATCTTTTTTTTTTTTTTTTTTTTTTGGAGACGGAATCTCACTCTGTTGCCAGGCTGGAGTACAGTGGCACAACCTCGGCTCACTGCATCCTCTGCCTCCCAGGTTCAAGCTATTTAAGCAATACCTGTGTGTCCAGATATTTATTTATTTATTTATTTTGAGAGGGAATCTCGCTCTGTCGCCAGGCTGGAGTGCAGTGGTGCGATCTCAGCTCATTGCAACCTCTGCCTCCTGGGTTCAAGTGATTCTCCTGCCTCAGCCTCCCGAGTAGCTGGGACAACAGGCGCATGCCCCTGTGCCCGGCTAATTTTTGTATTTTTACTAGGGACGGGGTTTCACCATGTTGACCAGGCTGGTCTTGAACTCCTGACTTCAGGTGATCAACCTGCCTTGTCCTCCCCAAGTGCTGGGATTACAGGCCTGAGCCACCACGCCTGGCCCCAGAGATTTTAAAAAGTACTCTAGTTAGTTAAATCAGGTTAAATCAACGTAAATAATTTGCTAATAAGTAAATAATGCTTTTTCTAAAATTTGTTCCACCCGTAAGTTGCGATGTTACTGTTAGTGTCCTCAAAACAATGATTAAGTATTTCAAATGGTTTTTACACTCTCAGTGTAATCAGCACTACAGTATTGAGGAGAGCTGGGCACCATGGCTCATGCCTGTAATCCCAGGACTTTGAGAGGCCGAGGCAAGTGGATCCCCTATGCCCAGGAGTTGGAGAACAGCCTGAGGAATATGGCAAAACTCCATCTATACAAAAACATACAAAAAATTAGCTGGGCGTGGTGACATACGCCTGTAGTCCCAGCTACTCAGAAGACTGAGGTGGGAGGACCGCTTGAGCCTGGGAGATTGAGGCTGCAGTAAGCCATGACTGTGCTACTGGACTCCAGCCTAGGCAACAGAATAAGACCCTGTCTCAGAATATATATATATATGTATATATATAAAAAGAGAGAGAGAGAGAGAGGAGAAAAATGGCATTTCTCATCTGCCTAACCTTTGGGATAGTAGAAAGGTAAGTTTAAGTGAGATGGGACAACATATTTTAAAAGTTAAGTAGCTTTCATATTAAGTATTATCCACACAATATCAAATCCTTTGATGACTCCTTTAAGTGTGGCCACAAAAATATGAAAAAATTATTGGTGATAGCAATTATAACAGTTGCTCTTGGCCAGGCACCATGGCTCACGCCTGTATTCCCAGCGCTTTGGGAGGCCAAGGTGGGTGGATCACTTGAGGTCAGACATTCAAGAGCAGCCTGGCCAACATGATGAAACTCTGTCTCTACTAAAAATACAAAAATTAGCCAGGCATGGTGGCCGATGCCTGTAATCCCAGCTACTCCGGAGGCTGAGGCAGGGAGAATCGCTTGAACCTGGGAGGCAGAGGTTGCAGTGAGCTGAGATCTTGCCACTGCACTCCAGCCTGGGCAACAGAGGGAGACTCTGTCTCAAAAAAAAAAAAAAAAAAATTGCTCTTAACCAATTGTTATTGATATTTCTTTGTTCAATTACCTGTATGTACGCTATACTACTATACATTTTTCTAAACTGATGTCAGTATATATTCTACATTTTTATCTTTATTGTCCAGAAAAACATAATCCTTCTGCTACATACACAACCTTCATAAGGCCATTTTCTGCATATTTTCAGAGCCTTCAACCCTAGTTAAGAAAATTGTAGGCCCAGCACAGTGGCTCACACCTGTAATCCCAGCGCTTTGGGAGGCCAAGGCAGGCAGATCACAAAGTCAGGAGTCCAAGACCAGCCTGGCCAACATGGTGAAACCCCCGTCTCTACTAAAAATACAAAGTAGCCAGGTGTGGTGGCGGGTGCCTGTAATCCCAACTACTCGGGAGGCTGAGGCAGAAGAATCCCTTGAACCCGGGAGGCAGAGGTTGCAGTGAGCCGAGACCATGCCAGTGCACTCCAGCCTGGGCAACAGAGTGAGACGACTCCATCTAAAAAAAAAAGAAAGAAAATTATAAACAACAAAATAAGTGACAAGAAACTGTTCCAGTAAGGATATAAGCACTATACTAAGAATATTCCATTACATTTGATTATTTAGACTCAAAACTGGGAGACAGGCATTTCTAATGAAATTTGCTGATATGCAGAAGTGAACTTAGGCTCCCACCAGAGCTCCTTTGCCTGGCTGTTCATGATTGTTGCATTTTCAGGTGGTAAATAGGATCAATTTGATTTACTTTTCAGGAAAGGGTAAATTATTTTGGGTTCTTTAATTATTAAAAATAAAGACTGTTCAGCCGGGCACAGTGGCTCACACCTATAATCCCAGCACTTTGGGAGGCCGAGGTGGGTGGATCAAGAGATCAGGAGTTTGAGACCAGTCTGTCCAAGATGGTGAAACCCTGTCTCTACTATAAATACAAATATTAGCTGGGTGTGTTAGCAGTTACCTGTAATCCAAGCTACTCGGGAGGCTGAGGCAGGAGAATTGCTTGAACCCGGGAGGTGGAGGTTGCAGTGAGCCGAGATCCTGCCACTGCACTCCAGCCTGGGTGACAGAGCAAAACTCCCTATAAAAAAAAAAAAAAGAAAAAAAGACTGTTCCATTTCTATTTCAAACAAAGAACAGTTTCAGTTACAAACAGGTTTATAAGAACAACAGTTTTGTTTACTGAAACTGTCTTGTGGTTCCTTTTTAAGAACAGTTACTTTGGCCTCATTTGCTTCTGACAGGACAGCTGTTTGTATCTGAAGTCAGCAGCTCTGAGCTACATCACAAGTACATTCATCCCCACCAGGCCTGAAAATCCCATTGCTTTCTTTGAAAACTTCTCATTTTTATGTAACTCTTACCATTCTTCCTGCCCATTCTGGTTACTTTTCATCATCTTGCACTTGAACTGTTGGGAATGAATAGCCTTCTGGATTGCCTCTCTCTAATCCAACCCACATGTTGAATTGAGTTCCTGAACTACTGATTCCATTTTTTTACTTTCCTATACTCCCAGATCTGTGATTACTCCCTCCACTTGCTCCATCAAGTTAAAATTTTTCTGCATGACTTTTCTCATCTCAAGCTAAGTAAAATCCACAGTGCTACCCAGGCCCCACATGACCTGGCCTTGCTACCTCTTTGACTTCCACACTCCTTCCC